CTTAACAAGCACAACATAATAACGCAAAGATTTTATATGAATTTACTATTTAACTAATTGTTTAAACAATTGTTGAATTTACAATTTTACATCAAATCTATCTTTTATTATATTCCGCTTGATAAATTGCAAAATTAGAAAAAAAAACTGCATCTTTCTAGGTGCAGAACAAAGAAAGTTAATAAATAATAACAATAAATTGTTTAAACAAATGAAAAATGCAATATAATATTTTTTATATCTATTATTTGACATCATAAAACACTCACAGTGAAAAGTCTGCATGATTTCAAGTCTTTTTGTAAAATAGAATTAAAAAAATATCTGAATCATCCCGGTTATCTCCGTACATACATTGATAAAAGTTATAAATAATCAAGAAGACATTTTTTTTAAAAATTTGTTTTTACATTTTTTGAAAGTTCTTAAGATTTTGTTCAGTGACTTAAAATCGCGATTCAATTAAGGCAAAACTTTAGAAGATATGGCAATTTCAATTTGTCTGGCCCACCCTGGGTGGGCATCTTGTCAAGCGAAGGTTAACCTTTAATTTTTTTTTCTCTCCCTCTCTCAGACTATATATTTTTTTTTTTTTCAACGCAACAATAAGAAATTCGTATCCTAAATCGTCAGTTTAATCCCCTATATTTTTCTTTTCTTTTCTTTTCTTTTTTTTACGATATATCCAATGATTAAGTGTTAACTCAAGCTTCAGAAGCAATCAATTTCTCATTTCTGGACCCACACATTAGCCCATCGAAATTGGCTTAATCTTGGCTGAGATCTGGCACTAGTGCTATTACAGGAATTAATCAAGCAAGAAAATCTAAATTTTCAGATTGGACGAGATTTTTTTTCTATATAATTTTTAAAAATATTCGTTTTTTTGAAAGAAATTTTGTTTTCTATTTATATTTGTTTAAAAATTTCTTCTAAAAAAAGAATTTTTTCTTTTTATATTTTTTCGAAAATAAGAAAAGTGTTTTTTAACATTTTGAAACACCAGCTTTTTCTTTTTTTTTAAAGTAACAAAAATACACATCATTTTCAAAAAGAGATAATGAATTTTTATTATTTATAGAAATCATCTCCTTTGGAATATTTTAAACTCCCTTTTGATTAATCAATATAATTCCAACAGAGTGGTAACCATTTATAAATTAAATTAACAATTCTTTAAAATTCTTATTTAAGTGCCAATAATAGAGAAAAAAATAAATAAAAATGAAACTATATATTATATTTTTTTATAAAAAGAAGAGAAATTTTTGCAGAGAAATAAAAGAATTTTTCTCTCTATAATATTTAATTTTTAATAAAAGGTTAATTTAAATTTCATGCATTTTTTTTTATTTTTTATTTCAGTGACAGTCATATGTATATATCTTATTTCATTTATACTTAATATGAAAATCGATAACAAAAATTAAAACCGATATTATATATGTATATATGAATTTTTAATCATTTTTCTTTAATTAGTTGTATAAAATTTATATTTTCTGTAAAAAAAAATTATTACTTTCCGTAAAAATTTTCCTTTCTAAAAAACATACTTTCTTTAAAATTTTCCCTTTCTGTAAAATTTATACTTTCTTTAAAAATTTTGCTTTCCTGAAAAACTTACACTTTCTTTAAAATATTCCCTTTCTGTGAAATTTATATTTTCCGTCAAATTTCCCCTTTTCTGTAAAATATACACTTTCTTTAAAATTTTCCCTTTCTGTAAAATTTATTTTCGTTAAAATTTTTCCTTTCTGTGAAATTTACATTTTTCTGTAAAATTATCACTTTCAGTAAAATTTTTCCTTTCTAAAAAATGTACTTCCTTTAAAATTTTCCCTTTCTGTGAAATTTGTATTTTCAGTTAAATTTTCCCTTTCTGTAAAATTTACACTTTCTTTAAAATTTTTCCTTTCTGAAAAACTTACACCTTCTTTAAAATTTTTCCTTTCTGTGAAATTTATATTTTCCGTCAAATTTCCCCTTTTCTGTAAAATATACACTTTCTTTAAAATTTTCCCTTTCTGTAAAATTTACTTTCGTTAAAATTTTTCCTTTCTGTGAAATTTACATTTTTCTGTAAAATTATCACTTTCGTTAAAATTTTTCCTTTCTGTGAAATTTACATTTTTCTGTAAAATTATCACTTTCAGTAAAATTTTTCCTTTCTAAAAAATGTACTTCCTTTAAAATTTTCCCTTTCTGTAAAATTTGTATTTTCCGTTAAATTTTCCCTTTCTGTAATATTTACGCTTTCTTTAAAATTTTTCCTTTCTGAAAAACTTACACTTTCTTTAAAATCTTCCCTTTCTGTGAACTTTATATTTTCCGTTAAATTTCCCCTTTCTGTAAAATTTATACTTTCTTTAAAATTTTTCCTTTCTGTGAAATTGATATTTTCCGTCAAATTTCCCCTTTTCTGTAAAATGTACACTTTCTTTAAAATTTTCCCTTTCTGTAAAATTTACTTTCATTAAAATTTTTCCTTTCTGTGAAATTTACTTTTTTCTGTAAAATTACCCCACTTTCTGTAAAATTTCCCTTTTATTGAAAAACTTACACTTTTTTAAAAAATTTTCCCTTTCTGTAAAATTATATTTTCCGTAAAATTTTCTCTTTCTGTAAAATTTACACTTTTTCTAAATTTCCCCCCTCTTAGCGAAATTTATATTTTTAGTGAAATTGTCACTTTCTGTAAAATTTGTCATTTTCTGTAAAATTTTCCCATCTTGTAAAATTTAAATTTTCTGTAATGTTACCACTTTTTTTAAAATTTTCATACAGTACTCTAAAAAATCACAAGAGAATTGAATATTAACAAATTTTAATCTTTACCTATAATTACTAAATCTAAGTTAGTAAAAAAGTTTACTAATTTTTGAAATAAATAAATTTATTTATAAATTTATTTGAGACAAATAAAAATTTATTTGCAGTAAATAAAAATATATTTATTTCATAGACAAATATACGTTTATTAAATTCAACAAAAAACTGAAAAAAAAATTTTTTGATTTAAATAATCGGTTACTTGATTTTTATCAAATAAATATTTATTTCTATCAAATAATTATATTTTTGAGTCAATTAAATGATATTTTGTTTCAAATATAAAAATTATTGGTTCAAATAAAATTAATATAATTATTAATTCAATTATTTGGTTCAAGTAAATATTTATTTAATAATAGTCAAGTAATCAAGTATTTGAATCAAATAAAATTTTTTTTTCAGTGTTATTATATTTGTTTCAAATAAAACATTTCTCTGAGTGTACAATTAAGATTTATCCATTTAAAAAAAAACCACCAATTAAAAATTAGTTTATAAAAAAATTAACAATTCCGATTAAAAGTGGTTCAGTAAAAATTAAAAAAATGGTACACCCAGAGAAATGATTTATTTGAACCAAATAAAATATTTTTTGAGTTAAATAAACGTATATTTGTCTCAGAGCCTACTAACTTATTTATATTTGGCGTAAATAAAAATTTTATTTGTCAAAAAATAAATTTTTGCTTTGGCTCAAATAAATTTTTTATTTCAATGAAATAAAATATATTTGCAACAAATAAATGAGTTAGTATAGGCTCGAAGACAAATATACAATTTCTCTGAGCGTAGAAAACAAAAATTATCAAAAAAGGAAATTTTACAATTTTATTAAACTTACACCCAGAGAAATGTTTTATTTCAAAAAAAATTAAATATATTTCAATTAAATAAATGTATATTTGTCTCAGCCCATTTATTTGTGGTAAATAAAAATTTGTATTTAAATCAAATGAAAATTTATTTAAATCAAATGAAAAATTTATTCGAATCAAATGAAAAATTTTTTGAATCAAATGAAAATTTATTTAAATCACACACTCAGAGAAATGGAATATTTGTCTCCGAGCCTACTAACTCATTTATTTGTTGCAAATATATTTTATTTTATTGAAATAAAAAATTTATTTGAGCTAAAGAAAAATTTATTTCTGACAAATAAAATTTTTATTTACGCCAAATATAAATATGTTAGTAGGCTCTGAGACAAATATACGTTTATTTAACTCAAATATATTTTATTTCGTTCAAATAAATCATTTCTCTTGGTGCATAAAAATTTATTCGAATCAAATAAAAAATTTTTTGAATCAAATAAAAATTTATTTAAATCAAACAAAAATTTATTCGAATCAAATAAAAAATTTTTTGAATCAAATGAAAAATTTATTTAATTAAATAAAAATTTATTCGAATCAAATAAAAATTTATTTTAATCAAACGAAAAATTTATTTGAATCAAATAAATATTTATTAGGCTCCGAGAGAAAAATATATCATTTCTCTGGATGTAAAAAAGCACTGAATCTTGAAAACATTTTATCGTGTGTGTCACCAATAAAAGAAAAATCACTAAAAAAAAAAAAAAAAATTTTCCTCTAGCACATATAAGTGATACCCTTACCTTTCGTTGATATTTTCGATTAAAAAAAATCACTTCCGTCGCGATTTATTTATTTATTTTATCTCCTAACGTGAAAACCAAGATCAAAACTCGGGGACAAGTTTCAACGAAAGATATAGGGTTTGTTCGGATATACAGTAGAAAAGTACCAAAGATCACGTGTCAGTCCTGCGCATTCAACCCTTTATTTTGCCTAAAGGAAACGCACACACACACACACACATACATTTAACACACACAAACACGAGGGCAGCGTGCTGATAATATAATCGCGAAAGGGGTCGACGTACGTCGGTACCGAGGACTATTAAGGGGCGTCCCACTTGTTACAGAACAGCCAGTGCCACAGGTTTTTTTTTTCTCCACAAATTTTTTTTTTAACTGTGTTATTGAGTAACGATAGAAAAAATAGAAAAAGAGAGAGAGAGAAAGAGGGGAAAAAAATCGTTTTTTGATAAAACAAAAAGAGAGAAAGAAAAGAATTAGTATTTTTTTTTTTTTTTGTGAAAAAAAAATAGAAGATCCGCACGCTTCGACTTACCTATGACGTGTGTGTGTACTACCCACTAGTTCGCCAATGAAACAGTGAAAGCTTGCCTGAGAATTGCGAGGGTGCTGCCGTCCAGGGCCTCCGGGTCGATACGGACACGCCTGCGCTGCCCATACAATTTTCCATCCCTTCTCTGTATATATGGCAAAAGAGAAAATCAACCATCAACGGACACGCGACTTAGTAAATGTGTGTATGTGTGTGTGTGTGTTTTGAGATAAAAGCCTACATACATTTCGACAGTGCCGTATATTTCATTCAAGTCGGTTAACTATCCCTCCCCCCCACTCCTTCTGCTTTGGAAAAATCGAATCTAAAACCAGATGTCGACGACTCTGATTTTACTGACACACAGAATCTCCCATTTTGTTTGTTTATTTATTTAGGAATTTTATTTATTTATTTATTTATTCATTTTCCCTAATTTTAGGGAGCAAAAAAAATTGTCATTTTCTTTCAACTGAGATTTTTTATAAATAAATTTTCCGAACAGATGAATATTTTACTGATACACACACCCAGAGAAATGATTTATTTGAACCAAATAAAATATATTTGAGTTAAATAAACGTATATTTGTCTCAAAGCCTACTAACTTATTTATTTGGCATAATTAAAAATTTTATTTGTCATAAATAAATTTTTCTTTGGTTTAAATAAATTTTTTATTTAAACGAAATAAAATATATTTGCAACAAATAAATGAGTTAGTAGGCTCTGAGACAAATATACAATTTCTCTAAGTGCAGAATCTCCCTATTTTGTTTATTTATTTATTTAGAGATTTTATTTATTTATTTATTTTTCCTAATTTTAGGGAGAAAAAAAATTGTCATTTTCTTTCAACTGAGATTTTTTTATACAAATAAATTTTCCGAACGGATGAATATTTTCTAAAAATTGTTAGAATTTTCATTTTATTGATTTTTAATTTGTCATAATTATTTTTGAGACGAATTTTTATTTGTTCGAATTTTGTATTTTGCAGAATTTTCATTCAAACGATTTTCTACATTAGAGAATTTTTATATAATCGAAAATTTACTTCACTGAATTTTTTATTACACTTTTTATTCGTGAGAATTTTTATTAACTCGAATTTTAATTTAACATAATTGGAATTTTAAAGAATATTTATTCAGTAGAATTTAATTGCATAAAACAAATTTATTTGATTCAAATTTATCAGTTACTTTTGACTATTGAATAAATGTTTATTTGCATTAAATAAATTTTATTCGAGTAAATGAAAATTTATATTTGTTTTTCAAATATAGAAATTATTTTTTCAAATATAGTTTATTTAATTTAAATAAAAATTATTTTATTCAAGTAAATTTTTATATGATTTAAATAAATATTTACTTAATTCAAGTAAATATTTATTTGATTCAAGTATAAATATTTATTTGATTCAAGTATAAATATTTATTTGATAATAGTCAAGTAAATTATTTAATTTTTCAAATATTTAATATCAAACGATTCTAATTATAAATATTTCGATAATATAATTTCACAAAAAAAAATAAAATTATTTTATTCAAATAAATATTTACTTGAACAAAATAAATTTTATTTGAGCTAAATAAATTGATTTTGGACCAATAGAGTCTTTGTATTTGAATTAAATACATTGTATTTGAACCAATAATTTCTGTATTTGATACAAATAAAATTTAATTGCAACAAATAAATATTTATTTGATAATAATAAAGTAACCAATTGCTTAAGACAAATAAATTTTTTTTCAGTATAAGAATTTTCATTTCATTCTTTTAGATAAATTTTCATTTTTTTTCGAATTATTATTTGATTGAATTTCCGTATAACCGATTTTTCATACTACATATCTCCCATTTTGTTTGTTTATTTATTTATTTAGGGATTTTATTTATTTATTTATTTATTCATTTTCCCTAATTTTAGGGAGAAAAAAATTGTCATTTTCTTTCAACTGAGATTTTTTTATAAATAAATTTTCCAAACAGATGAATATTTTTTAAAAATTGTTAAAATTTTCATTTTATTGATTTTCATTTTGTCATAATTATTTTTGAGACGAATTTTTATTTGTTCGAATTTTGTATTTTGCAGAATTTTCATTAAAACGATTTGCTATATTAGAGAATATTTATTTATAATCGAAAATTTACTTTACTGAATTTTTTATTACAATTTTTATTTTTGAGAATTTTTATTTACTCGAATTTTAATTTAACATAATTGGAATTTTAAAGAATATTTATTCAGTAGAATTTTATTGTATAAAACAAATTTATTTGATTCAAATTTATCAGTTACTTTTGACTATTGAATAAATATTTATTTGCATTAAATATATTTTATTCGAGTCAATGAAAATTTATATTTGTTTTTCAAATATAGAAATTATTGTTTCAAATATAGTTTATTTAATTTAAATAAAAATTATTTTATTCAAGTAAATTTTTATATGATTTAAATAAATATTTATTTAATTCAAGTAAATATTTATTTGATTTAAGTAAATATTTATTTGATTCAAGTAAATATTTATTTGATTCAAGTAAATATTTATTTGATTCAAGTAAATATTTATTTGATTCAAGTATAAATATTTATTTGATAATAGTCAAGTAAATTATTTAATTTTTCAAATATTTAATATCAAACGATTCTAATTATAAATATTTCGATAATATAATTTCCCCAAAAAAATAATAATAATTTTATTCAAATAAATATTTACTTGAACCAAATAAATTTTATTTGAGCTAAATAAATTGTTTTTGGACCAATAGAGTCTTTGTATTTGAATTAAATAAATTGTATTTGAACCAATAATTTCTGTATTTGATACAAATAAAATTGAATTGCAACAAATAAATATTTATTTGGTTCAAATAAATATTTATTTAATAACAATAAAGTAACCAATTACTTGAAACAAATAAATTATTTTTCCAGTATAAGAATTTTCATTTCATTCTTTTAGATAAATTTTCATTTTTTTTCGAATTATTATTTGATTGAATTTCCATATAACCGATTTTTCATACTACAGAATTTTTCCTTAACCGAAAAATCACAGAATTTTTATTTGTCCGTAATTGCAAATGTCCGAACAAACAATCGATTTTGGCGCAATTTTTAAAATCAACCAATTAAAAATTATTCATAAAATTGTGATTGGTTGATTTTCAAAATCGCGCCAAAATCGGACTGTTCGAACATTTGCAATTTCGGACATATGAAAATTCACAAGATTAATAATTTAATTTTTTAACAAGGTTTTTCCGAAATTTTCTTCACTTTTAATGAATGAAAAAAAAATGGGGGTATAATTATTTGCAAAAATTTTTGAGAAAATTATAAAATAATTAAAAGTTGAAAAAAAGTTTGTCACTGAGTACAAAAAGAAATATTTGTTTATTGTTCATTTTTTCAATAATATTTAAATACTAAATTAAAAAAGAAAAAATTAATTTTTATTAAAAAACAAATAAAATAGTAAATAAAAGTTAATATCGAAAATTCCAGTGACACAAGTCAACGTCATGTCGGCCAATTAAAAAGATCCTTCACACACAAATATATATGTATATAAATAACTATAAAAGGCGAATTTCAAATAAATTCAGTTTCAACAAAATTAAAATTTAAAAAGTTAATTAAAAAAAAAAAATAATTAAATAAAACGGGGAAAATTAATATCGAACGAAATATAAATCGACAAAAATTGAAAAATATTACAAAATATAATAAAATATGTAATTGACGAAATACATTTTTTTAATTAATAAATAATAAACTAATAAATAATAACCTAATAAACAATAAACTAATAAATAATAAATTAACAAATAATAAACTAATAAATAATATTTTTTTTTAATAACAGAAAAAAAATACTAGGTCACAAATTGCGTTTCAGTATAAAATAAGCTTTGGAACAAAAGTTAAAAGCTTAAAAACTGTTTTAGTAAATTAAAAATGCTTTTAAAACGCAGAAGGGGAAAATTTTTCGCTATAGATGAATATTCAAAGGTGAAAAAAAAATCAATATTTCAGTTAGACAAAATGACAATTTTTAAAATTCAGAAAAAAATTAAAATATTTTTACTTAGAATTAACAGTTAAACAATTTCTTCAAATTAATTATTCTTTTAAACAAAAATTTGACAATGATAAAAATTTCTAACAGAATAGAAAAAAATTTCAGTGAAACAAATCAACGTTTAATTCGACAATGGAGAACAATTTTAAATTTTGAAGCTGTTGTAAAAAAAAACTATCGAATTTCAGTAGTAAAAATCAATTGTAATAAATTTAGAATTAATTTGATTCTAAATCTATATCTAGAAAAATGATTTATTTGAACCAAATATAATATATTTGAGTTAAATAAACGTAGGTATATTTGTCTTAGAGCCTACTGGACCATTTATTTGGCGTAAATAAATTTTGTTATTTAAATCAAATAAATATTTATTTAAATTAAATAAAAATTTACTTAAATCAAATAAATATTTATTTAAATTAAATAAAAATTTACTTAAATTAAATAAATATTTATTTGTCACTGAGACAAATAATATTATTTCTCTGGGTGAATATAAACAATAGAAATAATATTAAAATATTAAAAAATATAAATAAATATGAAAAAAAGTTTATAAAATATATAAAATAAAATGTCGAGTAAAATCAAAGAGAATAAATTTAAATAAAATAAAATTTTCAGTATACTGTATATATATTAATGTTTGAGGAAAAAAAAATCCAAGAAACTAGAATTTAATGAAAAAAAAAAATTTGCAAAATAAACGCGAGTGAAAATTGAGTTTCAGTGAAACAAGTAGAGGTAAGTCCTGACGATGAAGAGTCTCTCACTGAATATTAAAGTGAATTCCAGTAGAATTAGTCAATACAAGGCACGCCTAAGTATCGCACAGTGGCGCTCAATGAATTCTAATGAATTTTCACTAGAAAATTTTAACCTCACAATTTTATAAATATAAATATTATTTTTTAAACCATAATTAATATTAACTAATTATTAATTATAACTAAAATATAAAATAATTAAAAAAATGCAATATTTTTCAACAACAAATG